CATTAACATGTTACTATGCATAGTAGAATTGTACATTGGCTGATTCATCAATGTTATACTCATAACAGTGCCTGAACTACAACTGGGAACTGCTGCTTTTTTCCCCGCATCCTTACTATCGTCTTTTTCTTCTACTTCTTTTGCATGTTTTTCACACTTTTGTGACCCGCCAATTGCGGGGTGCCTTGAAAGTCGAAGCAGACTTTGTGCTGCTGAAGCTAGAGAGGTGAGCAGAGTAAGCCTGCTTCCCTGTAAGGACTTCCCTGTTGACATCCACCCTATTGGCGCTCATAAAATATGATCTTATGCAGTTGCGAGTGCCGCAAAACCTCTACTAAACTACTAAAAGGTAACGAACAACTGAACAGTTTGCCAGCGGTATGCGATAGGTACAGAAATAGTACAGGTCTGCCCGAATTCAAACAGCTGACCAAATGAATGAAACACGGAATAACTACGTGGTATATTTATCCGTTTTAGATCAGCCACCTGTTTGGGTGGTTGCCTACTGGTGACGTCACCAACGACTCTCTAGTACCCAGCATGGTTGTTGTTGTTTTTTTGTTGGAGTGAATGCCCTGATGGTCAATGACATGTATACTGTATATTTTGCATAGTGAATTCTTTTGAATGAATGGTTGATCAATGGTATGTATTGCATATTATTTTCGGTACTCTTTGAAGACGTGGATCTCTCGGACTGAACATCTGGTCTGTTGATTATATACTAATATGTATTATATGTATACTGTGCGTCCCCTCCTTTCTTTACTTTTCTTTTCGTCTGTTGTTTCCATCCGTCTTATATTTTGCTTGCTTTAATCGACTGTTATTGTGCCGATCTTTTTTCTCTATATTTAGATAAAGCAATCACATTTTCTATCATACCGTATTAAAGACACATCATTTATAAAGAGAAACGATGTCGGAAAGGCGGCCGGGTATTACAAGACATTTCTCTAAGTTATTGAAAACAAAGACACGAATATAATCAAATCTGTCAAATGACTCTAAACCTCTTCTCCCCGAACGACCTAAAGTGACTTAAGCATAGTCAATAGCCACTTTGTTAACTATAGTTAAAGCACATCTGCACACAATACCTAACTTCGAGCTGAAAAATAGTAAGACAGACATTACGGACAGAGTGGAGAGCAAAAGTACCTACAACTAGTGAGCTGTGACTCGACCTATGTCAAACGTGAGGCGTGCTGACAAAATTAATTACTTCTCGTAGCCCACAAAAGAAGACATTGGTAAAAAAAAAATGACACTATGGTCAAATTTATAGATTTTCCATTATGCCATATTCTTTAATTATAACATACTTTTTATTTCTTACTTATACATTGTAAAAATTCACATTTTAAATGTGAGGTATCTATTTCATTAATTAAGGCCTGAATCCAAGAAGTAACTCATTTTGTCAGCACACTTCACACATATTATTATCTGTTGAACATAAGGTGAAGGAAATCACAACAAGAGAATAAAAAAGAGAAACAAGCCTTCATGGTACGCCCATCCATGGTCTTTTCCTCGAATGGCTCGCCCAGCTTGAAGACAAGTTTTGTACTTTTGAATGTTGACGTGATGTTGATGGTCCATTGGTCGTCCTCTCGCGAGATTTCCTCGTAACTCGTGATCGTGTTGCCGACTTTACGCAGTACCATGTTCACTTCTGGTGAAGTAAGGTTATTGAACACTTAGAGTGGATAGGTGAACTACAGAACCGACATAGTGAAGAAAAAGGTACTACATGTACAAAGATGGCAATGTTTATATTTGTTCTGCCGGGATCGCATTTTTTTTTTACGTCTAAGATAATCTTGTTGCAAAATAGAAATTCCAACAAAAATGAAACAAATATAACCTCTGCCCCCCACCC